GGGGAGATGGCGAATGGGTGGTGGGGGCGAACCGCAAGGAGATAAGGTCGGCCCTATGCCGACGGCCTGGCCGTCGGCATAGGCCTGGCCCTTTGCCACGTTATTGATCCGTGGACATGTGCGCTGCTACGGCATAGATACTTTATTTAGTCACCTAGCGGCTCACAGAATTTCAAAGGACATCGAATCTCCAAAATACTCCAGTAGAGAGAGAGAGAGAGAGAGAGAGAGAGAGAGAGAGAGAGAGGGTGTGTCAAAAAGGGGAAACTAATAATAACATTCCCTCATGTATGGGGAGCCAAAGGGAAATGTTTTAATTAGAAAAAAAAAGTTTATTACTCTGAAGATTTTGAATTGACCATCTAAACCGGAAAGGAGGGAGTACAAGCTTAAAGGAATATATTAGATGCCATATGAATATTCTTGAGTAAGATTACCCCTATGCCCTAGGTCTTATGACAAGAGCAAATGCACACTTGTAAAATGCCCATTGGCATGGCATGTAAATTGTCACAACAATCTCCTACAAACATAAGGGCACCCCCTCACTTGGAGAGGGCAAAAGCAATGGACTCACTGTCGGGCATCCGCTTACTTGGGCTTGAGAAGGGAACTATGAGAGGAGTTCCACAGGGGAGCTCCTATTGGATGCTCATTGCGTCAAATAGCACACCGACGCACTTGCAGACCGCGGTTGCGCTGGCCCAATCGAAGGCACCAAACTAACTATGTTTATTCCGCCAAAAATAAACAAAAAAGCGACACGCTGCTTAGAGGATTCGAACTCGTGATGTACAGCATGTCGACGAGTGACACTGGCCACTAGAAAGAATGACTGCAGGTGATTAATATAGTGCAATATTTTTAAGAATTCAATGGAGTGGGATATTTATGCAGCATAATTATTTACTGTATTGTATAGTTTTTGGAATTATTTGAAACAAATTTCGAAAACACAAGAAAATTTTGAAACAATGTGACAAAATTTGAAGTTTATGTAAAAAAATTAACAGGTAAAAACAAAATGCTAATGTTGAAATTATTTGAACAATTTTTTGAAAATGCAAACATTTTTAAAGCTGACATTTTTTGAAATTTCCAAAATAGCTTTTGAATTTGCGAACAAATTTTGAAATATTTGTTTAATTCTCTTATTTTTATAAAATGATCCTTTTTTTCAAATTCCAGAATGTTTGTTTTAAAAAAGGGAACAAAATTTAACAACACAAATATTTTTCACAATTACAAACAAATTTCTAAAATATTCAAACAATTCTTGCATTTGCAAACAAATTTTAAAAATATGAAACAAAAATTAGGAAATGATATTGTTTTTGAAATTACTGAACATTTTTTGAATTTATGAACAAATTCTGAAAATCCAAACATTTTCTCAAATGTTATTTTTTTGAAATTATAAAATTGTTTGAAATTACGGACATTTTTTCAAAAGGGTGAATAATTTTTGAAGTTCGAAAAAATTTATGAATGTTGGAACATTTCGAATTTTCCAATCAAAATTTGAAAATGGGAAGTTTTTTTGAGAATTCTGAACAAATTTTGGTATATAAGAATATTTTAGAAATTTTTGAAAAGTAGAAATATAAAAAAAATAGGAAAGAAAATAGAAATATAAAAAGTAGAAAAACATGAAAAAGAAAAAGCAAACAGAAAAAACAGGGAAGAAAATAACCCAGGAAAAAAACCGGTTCAGGCGGTTGGGCACGGCATCTCTCATCACTAGCATCCTTGCCCTATGTGATGCCCATCAATTCACCGCAGCAAGCGACGAATATGGTTTTCCGTTGCACAGCTCCTAGGAGAGGGAGCCACGACAAAAGCTGGAGCAGGACATGCGCATGAAATGGAAGTCATAGGCACCCAGCCACCCAGGTGAGGAAGACCCCACAGGAAACCACCTAGCTAGGAACAGTTGGGTCACCACGTCGCAATCAAAGTCAGGTGAGGCTACCTTGGCATGAACAAATCTGAGGAACGGCGTGCCGACTTTGTGGCAAAGTGTGTGCAGCAAACCCGGAGCGGGGCGTGGATTGCCTTTTGTGAGGATGCCTCGGACCACGGATTCAGACTCACGTAATAGTGTTGCCTTCAGATTTCTAGCCCTAACCTAACATTGACTTTGGACTTCTAGATCTAAGCCAGTGTTGCCTTCGGACTTCTAGCTCTAAGATATTGTTTGCATCAGGTAGTAAGCAAATTTTGTGGTGCTTATGCGCAAGTGGTAAATAGGAACCAAAGTCTGGTGGGAGAGTCTGAAGCCATCTAAGGTATGTTTGATTTAACTGATCACCATATCTTTTGCTTTCTTTATTTTGTGCAATATGTTGAGATGTGGTTATTTTGATGGTTGTGCTTGGTCGCAACATTATACCGTCAAAATGAGAATAGGTCATTTAATTTACTGAATGGATTTGAACGTTAAACCCAAATTGAGTGAGCTCTTTGAAGATTCTCAAAGCCCCGAGACGAAGGGAAAAAACAATGTTGGCTCAAGCTCCCAACAATCTATTGGGCTGGATGAAGTGAGACAAGTGGAGGTGGAAGTGCACCGATGTCCAAGTCAAAAATAAGTGGAATGATGAGGTGGGAAGTGGGAGAAGATAGGGTTGTGCCTAACAGAGCGGCGAGCGCAATGTCAGCAGCGGGGATCCTTTTTTAAGAAATACATAGAATTGGAAAAAAAAGGAGGATATTATGGAGGAGGAGGAAATATACAATATCTACTTGAATGTCTAGAGAAAGAAGATGGACAAAGAGGATGGATATCGAGAAATGAAGCCGTGGGAGCAAATGGAGCTTGAGAAGACGAAGGTGAGGGAGCACATGGATATTGAGAGAGAGAAGATAAACATACGCCATTGGGTGCCTTGTTTTTTAGGCAACTAGGCTCTATCTGCGGACACATGAGGCAACGGTTATATGTTTGCTCTTGGATATGCCCTCAGTCCCAACTCCCAAGTAACTTTTCTTCTTCCTTTTCGGGTGAACCAGTATAGTGCCATTTCTTGTTTGTGTTGTCACTGTCCAACAGCTGCTGATTTTTATTAGCAAAGACTACAACTGTGGTATAAACCAAGGTCCTACAACTTGATAAAAATAACCACGGTTACAAATATTTCAAAATTTAATAATAAATAGGGATTTTCGCACAAGAAAATATAGCCACCAATTTTGGTTAAAAATTATGACCATCCATGACTGATTTGTGTTGCTTTGCAAACATGAATTGATTTTTCTCTTCTGACAAAAATCATAAGATTGTTCAAATAAGGCAATATTACTTTATGCTATGACATATCTATCAGATTTTTTTCTGCCTTTCGTAAAGATTTTATATGCATATCTCTTGTTAGGCATAATGTAAGTTGCAAGAAGATGCCTTTTGTATCATGGGCTTTGATGAGTGCATTTTGCATCATGTTATGTTTTTTTTATTTCTGCCAGTTGTGTTCCCTTTTTGCCTAGATTCCACAAGAGTATAAATTTGAGGGTTTTGTAGCATTTAAAGGGAACCTCCATTTCTTTTCGAAAAATGATGATTGGGTATTAAAGAAGGGACCTCCCTGCTAAAGATAAAAGGAGATCCCGGGTGAATGAAGCTAGCCGGCGCAGGTCAAGGAGTAACTCATGAATGGATCCTCCCCGTCAGTGGAGATGATAATTTGTTCCTCGCAAAAAGAAGAAAAAGAAAATGCGTTGACGGATACGGTGACAGAAGCAAGCAGTAATTTGAACTTGTAGTAGTTACTGATAGCCAGATAATACTTGATCGCTGTGGACCTTGCAATGTAGTACCTATCTGAATTATGTGTGTGTACTGCAATCTGGATGCATATTTATCTTGTTCCTTTCTGAATGTGCCGAGTAATTGCCTAGCCTGCCTTAGGCAGATGTGTTCGCCTGCTAGGGGCATCATTGAAATTCTCCTCCCCCTCCCAAGAATGTGTCTCTGGGAAACTTTCTGGTAATACACTAGCCTTTTGAATTTATGTAGTTAACATCAACACTGAATCTACCGCAATACAAAGAGGTTACTTGTTGTATGCTGATCTTGCACCCCCTGGGCCTGGAAAGTGACTGAAATGAGAGTTTCACTTTTCAGAAACCTTGTGGGTAGCATAATGTTTGAACCTACACACCCCTACCCTAATGTTTCAATCAAATAATGTGAATGGTAACAAGGGCTCTTTCGCAAGGACTATTTCTAGCAACCATTCAGCCAGAGACTACACAGGAAAAAACAACACACCGCATGGCGTCTTTCCCATGGTACCAATCACAATTCACAAACTCCATAAAAGATGAAGGATACATCGATCGACTAAAAATGCATCGGGAAATGAGACGGTCTTATTAAATCACCGAGCTAAATATATGCCAGAGAAGCATGTCAAAGTAACAAGCTGCGGTGTTACACAGCAAACTACCCAACATGAGAAGAAAAAATAGCAATTTTTCGGAATGGTAACAAACCATCATCCATCACAGTTGGTTGGAAGAATGCATCCAAACAAAATGCACACCAGTCCCCTTGCTCTCGGCTCTCGTTTATCTCGTGTTTCCGATCATACAAATCCTTCATATCAACATTCATTTGTTTACTAAAACTCCCTAATCCAAAATAATAAAGGTCGGAACATATTATTGTTATTAGCTCATGACTCTGGTGACCATTCCGGCGCCGACGGTCCTCCCTCCTTCCCTCAGCGTGAATCTTAGACCTGCAAAGCATATAACAGACAGATGAAGTTCTATAGTACTAAAGCAATCCCGATGCCGAAAATCTCAGAAGGTACGAAATGTAGGCAGACCTGGTTCGAGCGGAGCAGGCAACATCAACTCAAAGGTTGCAGTTATGCTGTCACCAGGCATAACCATGTTCACATGCAGAGGCAACTCGATTTTTCCACAGATACCAGTTGTCCTGAAGTAGAACTGTGGGATATAATTTGAGAAGAAGGCCGTGTGGCGACCGCCTTCATTCTTGGTGAGGACGTAAATTTGGGCCTCAAACTTCTTGTAGGTCTTTACAGTGCCGGGTTTGCACACCACCTGGTATTGTAGGAAATAACACCAAATGAAAATCATCTAATAAAAGCAGCAAATAATACTGGAAAAGACACAAGATAGAGATAGTGTTACAAATATGCAAGATCAAAATGAAGCAAACTTATGCATCACCAGATCAGAAACTAGAAAATGTCTGTGCGTGGCAAATATTCGAGTGAAATGGGTCATTAGGGCATCCCCAACGGCACCCGCACATTTCCTCC